GGCCTCCTCCTTCCCCTTTAGTATGTATTGTGCATACGCGTTAACCAGAACTCCTTAGCAGATAATATTCCTTCTCAATCTTGTAAGGGGTCATGATGCCCCACTACTTGCTTTGTTATGCACATCTGGATAGCATAAACTGTCAATACATCATTCAGTGTATAAATCTTCATCTCAAAAACACATATAACTATGTTTTGACCTCCAGCAGGCAGAACAGTCCTCTGAGATTTCTGAAAAACTGTCTCTCAAGTTATAATCCTCAGGCTGGCTTGAATAAAATTTTCCATTTCTTTCTCAGAACATCTATTGATTTTTTTTTTTTTTTCACCAACAGCTGCAATGGTGTACCATACAGCAATGAAAATGAATGAGCTACTGCTACCTTGGGCTTAAATTTCACAAACACAATACTGAGTGAGAGGAGCTAGACACACAATAGCACCAACTGGACAGTTTCATTTATACAAAGTTCCAAAGCAGGTGAAACTAGCCTATGGGATTAGACAGAGGTTAATTTAGAAAGGAGGGCAGGGTAGTGACTGGGGGGAGACATGAAGAGGGCTTTTGGGGTGTTGGCTATGATCGAATTCTTGATCTGGGAGGCTGTCATACAGGTGTGTTCACTGTGTCGTAATTTGTTGACCTACATATTTGGGATTTGTGCACTTTCCCACAGATCTGGTGGGAAATTCTATTTAAAAAAACTTACAGGGGAAGGGAACTGCTTCAGGAGAATTTTATTTTTTTAAAGGAGGGTAGAAAGGGAATAGGAGGTGGATCAAGATTTCCCATTCAGGTGGCTCAGCTGTGGCAAGATGAAAAGGGGAAAGAGACGACTGTTGAATGGAACAGGGGCAGGAATTATTTCCAGCCCCCAACTGAAAAGTCTCCAGACACCTTCGCCTTAATTCCCTACCCACGCCTACACCACCTACTCAAAATCGGATCCTTCTGGGTGCAACCCAATGTTTCCGAGTCTAACGGTTACTTTTGTATCCAGGCAGAAAGACGTAGTGTTCCCAGTCAAATTAGAACCCCAATTTTGACACAGCCATGTCCTCTGCTAGGTGCTATGAGAAACGGCAGGCCCTGATGCCAAATGTCCCAGCAGCTAAACTGGAATAACCCTGAGGACGAGAGTAGAAGAGGGACTAGACAGTGCGGGTTTGAGCAAGGGAATTAATTACCTGCTCCTGTTGCTGTGTGTGTGCTGGGGTGCGTGCGAGTTGGGAGGAGGGGGTGCGGTATCTCAGAAAGAGGAAGAGGCAGCCAGAAGCACCTATCCAGCGCTGTTTCCTCCGCAGGCACATCTCTACTCCAAAACTCATCCGGGGGTCTGGAGTCACGCTCGAATGCACCCCTGAGCCACCTTCCGGGAGGAAAATGACAGGAAGGAACCACTGGTCACAGGTTCCACTGACAGGAGGGGAAAACCCAAGGGTGGTGGTTCCTTTACGGGGGAGATCACACCCCGGACACCAAAACATCCCCCAAAGAACTGGTTCTCCGTTCGCGTTGGAGAGGTGGAGATACCCCAGGGAGGAAGTGGCAAAAGGCGAAATGGGAACAGCCCTCTTTGATCCCAGAAGGTGCGTCAGGGAAAGTTGGATTTTGTTTAGCCCGGGATGGATACATCCTTCCGTGCTGCCGATCCCCTCCGCCCCGCCTCGGGCGGTGAGTGTAGGACCACAGCGGTGGTTTTGACCTCTTTTTCCTCCCTCCCTCTCGCCCGCCCATTCCCAGCCCTTCCAAGGCTGGGACTTTATTAAGGCCGGTTCCTTCAGGCTGAGCCACGCGCTGGCAGGAACGCGGCATCTTGTGGAAAGAGCAGAGGTGACTTCTCCCCAGCAGGCAAGAAGCTGTGTCCCCAAACAAGGTAGGGACGGTTCTCTCCGGGAACCGAGCCCGGGGCGCAGAGCAGCGGCATGGTGGTTTGAGCCCCGGCGGTCAGAGCTGGCGGCTCCGCTGGGAGGTTTCTCGGTCTTCCCGAAGGCCGGAGGCACAAGGAAACAATTCCGTACGCAGGGGTAGCCGCGGACCGGCGCGCACTCCTTAAAGGGGCGAGCGACGGTCCCGGCGCGGCGTGGCGGCCCCGGGAGGCGGCACCACGCGGGGAGCGCCAGGACCCGCGAGCGGCCTCCGGCGCGCGTCACCCCGCGTACTGCGCCTCCCCGGCGCCCCGCCCCCGGGGCCGGGCCGCGGCCGAGCCCGCCCCCCTCGCCGCCCCTGATTGGGGGCTGCCGCTGTCCATCCGGAATCTATTTTTGATGGAATGGGGGTGCCACCCATTCTGCCCCAGATCACGTTTGCCGCTAGCAGCCAACCAGTTGGGCCCAAGTCTGCGGGCAAGAAGGGATTGGGGGCGAGCGAGCTCGGCCCCACAGCCCGCCGTCCGGACTGCCCCCCGCCCCGCCTGGGACGCGACGATCTGTCCTGCCCGCCTGGGGCACCTACCCCTCGTGGAAGTCGAGCGGCTGCCTCGCTCGCCCAGCGCCGAGGCGAAATGTAGCAAGTCGGGTGCCGCGGCTGGACACTCGCCTAGGCTGGGGTGTGTGTGTGTGTGGCGGGGGGCATCCGGGGCCGAGGAGGACTGCAGAGGAGGAGGAGTGATGAGAAGAGGGGGACCCTTGCCTCCCCCGAGACCACGGGTCCCCGCCGCCAGTCGCCAGGCGCCCCCTTTCCTTCTGAGTGAGGAGGGGCAGGTCAGTGCTGTTGGGTCTAGGGGGTGGGTGGCGAGGCCGAGGGACCTGGCACCCCGCGCATTCGCTGAGTCTGTTTGGAGGAGAGGCGGGAGGGCCACCCAGATACTTCTCCCAATCCCTGGGTTCGGGGACACGAAAGTCGTCTGCTTAGTCCCCTCCCCGGAGCATCCCGGGTCACTTTTGCCTCTTTCATCCCAGGGCCTAGGCCCGGTTGAAGTCTCTTTACTGGCAGCAGCGGATGAGGGGCTGGCTTCTCTCGCTCCGAGCCCCGTTTCAGGTTAGGTGACTTGGCAGGAAGACGAGAGGAGGAGGGCCGGTCAGGTTTTAGCGGACTCAGAAACTTTTCTGGCACAGGAGTCGCGGACTCTCCTGCTCAGAGGTTTCTTCCTGGATCTCTAGTGAAGGTTTTTGAAAGAACCAACGGAACAGTGTTGAAGGAGACTGGAAAAGGGAGTCCTGGGGACGTGAGTGACTAGAAAGAGAAAACAATTCCCGTGGGCCAGTTACTGGAGTTTGATCCACCCTTCCCCAAACTGGAGTTGTGTTTGGAATACTTAAGGACCTATTCATCCTTCCTAGGGAAATTCTCTTTAAACGTATTTTTAACTTGTGAGAGCTCTTCTGGTGGAATGGAATCGGGTGGGAACAAGGCCTGGGGGTTCCTGTAGGCAAGAAGAAGTGGGGCCATTACCCTAAAGAGACAGGCATTTGGGAGCAAGTGCGTTTTGGCTTACGCTGCTTTTGTTTTTTATTCTGCTCTGTTTTATTTATTTTTTTTGGATGGTGCTTTTTTTGTTTTTGTTTTTTAAGAATTCCATTATATCCCACTCTCAGTAACCCTGGGGAACAGGATGAACCTAGAGAACTGAAATGTGTGCATAGTAACCACAGTGTTACCGTCCTTCCCTTCAAAGTGAGATAACACGCTCGTCCTATCTGACAAGCTCACAAGGCCAAGAGCAGGGGCAGAGAAGTAGCGGAGGCCTGGATCCAAGTCAGTGTCTGAGCTTTTTGTAACACTCTTGACTCTCAAGGGCAGGAGTGGGTAGGCCTCTGGCTCTTGGCCTTGGTCTGGCAGGCCTGCCCCATTGCCCCGGGAGTTCTCCCAGTTTGTTGGGTTTTTTCCCTCAGGGACTAGGGTTTGTAGGGGTGTAGGGACCTTCACTCAGTAGTCAGATTCTCCTTGCTTATTTGCCTTGTCTCATGACTGTGAACTATCGCTTTCTGCAGCCAAGTGGCTGCAGGGAACCTGTGACTGAATTTGTAACAGACCCTACTGGGAGACCACATTTTAGTAACCTTGGGTTTTTAATGGACATTCAAGAAGGGATCTCCCCCAGGACATCCCTTCCCATCCCCCGTTACTGAGAAGGCAATGCCAAGGTCTCCTGCGCAGCATCTTCCCCGTCCCAGGCAGGCCCCGTCTCATGGCTGTTGACCATGGTGGTGGTCCCTGGTGGGCAGTGCGTTGCCTGTTGGGAGGCTGGCAGGGCTAGTGCCTGCTGGGCATCCACATGTTGCAGGGCAGGAATGGGGGGTGTTAGTGAAAAAGGAAGGGAGCTAGCAAACCCCTTCTGCCTGCCGTGTGGGAATATTCTCGCAGTGGCAACTGTCTTCTGCCCTATCATAACATTTCCTCGTCTTCCTTCTTCCCACGTAAGGTGTTCCATCCAGATTCTTGTGACTGTGAGGACCAGGGATTTGTGAAGATACAGGGTCTTCCCAGAAAGGAGGAACTTCTCTGGAAAATAGGAGAGAGACGGCTGACACTGCCCTGGGACCAGCAGAGCCGGAGGAGCTGTGGGCAGCTGACTGAGCCCAGCCAGAGGCCACCCCAGGCCAAGTCTGCCTTCCGAAGGATCTGAACTTGGGCTGCTTGTCATCAAAGCAGGACCACCTCAGAGGCGCCCCAGACTTGACCTGACTCTTCTGCTCTGGATGCCCCTGACTCTGAGGAGTCTGCACTGAGAACCAAAGAAGTGACGAGGCCAGAGGAGCTCCCCCCAAGAAGCTTCTCGGCCGGCTGGGTCGGGCACCTGCACCCCTAGCGCCGGCTGCAGCTCTGGTGCAGAGTTTCCTGCTCCCCTCCAGCTTGTGGCTTCAGTGCTTGATGGGGCTGCCTGTCGGTGGATCAGCTTCTGAAGCGCCCGATCGGAGCGGAGAGCCGTGGGAAGAGGTCCCGCGGCCACCACGCCTGCGTTCACCCCAAGACTAAGTTCTTTCCCAAATTAGAGAGGGAGCCAGAGCGGAGAACAAAAAGAGGGGAGTTCCCCCTTCTCCTCCTCCCTCCGCGACATGTCCTCCAAGCCGGAGCCGAAGGACACCCACCAGCTGAACGGGACTGGTCCCGCCGCCTCAGCCTGCTCTTCGGAGGGCCCCAGCCGAGAGCCCTTGGCTGGGACCTCGGAGTTCCTGGGCCCCGACGGGGCAGAGGTCGAAGTGGTGGTGCCTGAGTCTCGGGCCAACGCCAAGGGCCTCCGGGAGGAGGACGCCCTGCTGGAGAACGGCAGCCAGAGCAACGAAAGTGACGACGTCAGCACGGACCACGGCCCCGCAGCCCCCTCCCCGCTCAAGGAGACCTCCTTTTCCATTGGGCTGCAGGTGCTGTTCCCCTTCCTCCTGGCTGGCTTCGGGACGGTGGCCGCCGGCATGGTGCTGGACATTGTGCAGGTAGGAGCTGGGAGGGCGGCCCTGGACCCTGAGCGTGGAGCTGTCTTTTCCTCCTGGGAGACTGTCTCTTGGAGCTTTTCCTCCACCTCCCTGTCAGAAGCAGCTGCTGCTTCCTGGAACCCTGTTTCCCTTTGGATCATGTCCTCGGTTTCTTCTTCCTCTAGTCCCTTTCTACAGAAGCCTTGAGGAATCTCTGCTTAACAGAAGCAGGGTTGATTCCCAAGCTCAGGCTTGGAAGAGGAGATGGAACAGATTGTTGCCTGCCATCCCTCCTGGTCATTCCTGCAGAGCCCAGCCCACTAGAAGACATTTAGATCATGGGCCTTCTCTTTAGGCTTTCTTTCCCCTTTATTTTGGGGGTTTCAAGGATACCCACAGTAGAAAGCTCAGTCTCAAGCCTTCCCTTCATCCCCCTGCTAGGCAGGAATTTGTTCAGCTGCCAAGAGGGTCTCAAATTAAGCAAGAAGGTTCTTAAAGGCATTTTGTGTTGCTTGTCTTTGTGTAACCTTGGCAGGCTCTCCTTAGAGAATGGGGGTGGGTACATGCTGAGACATGATTTGGAGGGTTGGCGTGATAAGAAATAGAAGTGTTGATTATGTGACAAATATGGGGACATATATAACCAAACTTGGGCAGAACTCTCTCTTCTCCTTGCTCCTTACCTATCTTTCACAAACCGTAGTGGGCAAAGAGAGCTCTTTGTGAGGCTCCTAGGTAGAATTAAGGAGAGGAATTGGCAGAACCAGGAAGCTAAGAGCCAGGGATATGCTATGTTAGCGTATTGTGGGTTAGGAGTTACCCAGGACCTCCAGGTCCCCAAGATGATTTAAAGCCTTGTTTCCAGCTAAAGTTTTTGAAGCTTAGTAAGACACATAAAGCTTTCTGAAAGTGCTGGGTTTATCTAAGTTAATCATTAACATGTATCAGATTCATCCTGAGTTCTGGGCTCTGTCCTAGGTACTCAGAGAAATGGGAATGCTGGAGGTGATCTGGCTTTTGCTCTTTGGGCCTCCCCCTGCCCCCTGCCCCAACCAGTGAGTCCTTGGCCATGGAATCTCTCAGGAGGGCGTGGATTTCAGCATCCCCTCCCCTTTGCCGAGCCAGCCCTACAAACAATGCATATGATAATACAGAGTCCTGCTGGCGAGTCTTACCAGGCCCCTGTCCCAGGAAGCAGGATGGTTGGTTCTAGGAGGTTCTTTCAATGGTGTCTACCTGGACCACTTTGACTTGAGTCTTTAGGGGAACGCTGCACCTTCGGTTGCTACTAAGGATGGTGTTTATATCATGCCCCTGTCTCCCTTAACCTGTCTCCTTGGGGATTGTTCCTCATGGAGGTCGGGATGCCAGTCTGGAGCAGGGAGGGCAGGCTTTGGATTCCTTGCCCAGGTAGCTGCTCCCTCTCCTAGAGCAGTGAGTGGAGTAATGAGAGGAAGAGAAATTAGACCAGGGTACCAGTTTCTCCACCTCTTCCATCCCTTTCCTGTGGCCTGGGTTCTCATTCTCAGAGGTTTCCAGTCCTGGTTTGGTGCCTCCAAAGGGGTGTAGAACCAGGGTCTGATAGTAACCTGGGAGCGGTTATTTTATTTTCTAGAAAGTAAGAACGGTAGTGGGCAACATCTGTTGGACTCTTCTGTGGACCCGTGGGGTTTGCACCATAACTGTCCCCATTGTGTAGATAGGGAGCTAATGGCTCAAAGGGATTAGTAACTTGTCCTTGGTCATCGGACTCAGAACCTATGTCCTTAGCCTCTATAACCTTTACTGTGGCCATGGTTCCAAAGTTGGTTAACGACTCTGGGAGGAGTCTACTCTTTGTCTTTCCTTGAAAAACACTGTAGACTGGAATATGGAACAACTGGAGTTATATTCTAAATGAGCAAGAACAAAGGTTCTTAGAGGGCCATTCCCTCGCCTTCTCTTACGCACTCAAGAGAATTCTAGAGCTGGAAATGACTTTTGGCGTCTTATCCCTTACCCTGAGACACTGAGAAACCAGGCAGGGAATGTTTGGAGCCTGCCGAGTGCACCCACAGAGGGCCAGCATTTGCCCTTGGTGTGGCACCTTGGCTCACCCCAGAGCTAAGGTGCAGTTAGTATGGACAACAGTGGCTGGTCTGTCTTTGTGCCCACCCCCAGCTTTCTCCCGCAGCATGTCTGGAGCAAGCCCTGCAGATGGCTGCAGTCATGGCAGGGATGGCAGGAGCAGAGAGATCAGGGACTGCAGGGAGATTTTTATTCCATATCTAAGGGAGTGAAAGAGGTGACTGGCAGTCTTGGGGTCAGGAGGAGCAGGACGATTTCTAAGGATTCACATCTGCATTTCCCCCTCACAGGCTAAGCTGAACTACAGTGGGATGGAGTCCTCTCAGCGGCTGGGGTCCTCGGGAGGAGCTGGCTGTAGGGTGTCCCCCGTGTCTCAGAGAAGCTGAGCCCGAGGCCCTGCCAGTGCAGATGTCTCCTTGGTCCAAGGCCCTCATTTTTCCCCACTGCTGCAGAAGCCCCGGCTTTTCCCCAGGCTCCTCTTATCTGCCCTCTCTCCATTTAGTGTGTACAGCCACCTTGGCGGTGAGATAAGGGACTGACTACTGGCCAAAAGTAGGAAAAGGTTAAGTACTGAGGCTGAAGTTCCCGGAGCGTTTGGGAAGGAAAGCGGGACTGGGCCCAGTGTGGGAGAGGAAGGGGGTTGGGCTGGGGAGCCTCCGTCCTGCAGAGGCCCTGCCCAGCCTCCTGGTTTGGTCCTGGGCAGCCCCAGGGCACCTCACTCCCCTCTTCTGTCAGCCCTTGGAGGGATGGGAGTAGCAGGAGGTGGTGTGCCAGCCTTCCCTGGAATTCTGCTGCTGCTGCTGCTAAAGCGCTTCAGTCATGCCTGACTCTGTGCAACCCCATAGACGGGAGCCCACTAGGCTCCTCTGTCCCTGGGATTCTCCAGGCAAGAACACTGGAATGGGTCGCCATTTCCTTCTCTGTCACTGGAATTCTGAGCTGTGTTAAAACAGGTGAGTCTCCCAGCTCTTCATCCTCACTACTCATGTCCTGAAGATCCCTAGGAAAGGAGACACCCCCGCCCCCAAACGCCTCCTCCTCTAGCTTTTCTGTGTGTACAGAGGAGTCTGCAAAGGTGAAGGTGGATGGCAAGGATGGCTTTGGGTAAGTGGGGTGGAGCAGAAACATTCCTCCTGCCCCCACAGGTAGGCTGCCCTACCCTTGGCTGGCCTGCCCCCAAGGCTGCCTGCTTTCCTGGACAGAGCACTCAGGTTTCCGGTATCTGCCTCTCTTATCACGCTTTGTCCAGCCTTCTGCCCCCAGGCGCCACCCTGAGGGCCTCCCCCTTGGACACCTGCAGGGAGAGCCTTAGATGCAGGCTGGGTTTACGCCCATCTGAGCTGAGTCAGCTCCAGCCCAGCTTCCCAGGTTCTCCTGCAGTTCTCAGAGCTGCTGGGGATCTGAGTCGCCTTTGTGTCTTTGACTCCAGCCTTTCCAGCCTGTGACTTCCTTCCTTGCCGTTCTCCTCCTGGAGGGGAAGAAGGCTCAGGGCAGAACACTCCCAGGCAGACTTGGTTCTCTCTTTGAGGCCAGAGGAGGTGTCAGATGGAAGAGAGATGAACAGACCAGGGTGAGACAGCAGTAGGGTCGCTGAGGTGTGAAACCTTTGGTGATGAGTCAGGATCATTGTGGAGGGGTGGCAGGCTCATCCCTCCTCCAAGCTGTCAGGAACCAGTGAGCCCCCATACCCCCCACCATCCGCAGACAGAGAAGGAAGGGGAAGAGGAGCCGCATTTCTGAGAAGGAGTGAAATCTGTCCCTGTGTGCCATCCGCATTTCCCGCCAAGGGCTTCCTGGAACGTGTTCTTTTCCATCCCCAGCGAGCAGGAAGGCGTGGGTGAAGGCTTGGCTCGTGGGTCTGACTTCAGGGTCAGACACTTCCAGGCAGGGTGAACAGGACGGGCCTGAATTAGGCCAAAGCAGGAAGGAGACGCAATGGGCCCTGGCCTCTGGCACTCTGCCCGCTGCTCACCTCAGGGCCAGCCTGCTTCCCGGGCCCTCCCAGAGCCGTGTGTGTGTGTGTGTGTGTGTGTGTGTGTGTGTGTGCATGTGCGCGTGCACACGCGCGCATGTGCATGTCAGAGGCTCCCCTGAGAGGCTTTTGTGGGTGAAGAAAGGATGTGTGCAGCCACTGGCTACTCTGACCAAGTGCCAGCTCAGGGTGTTGCTGGGTGGGGGTCAGGTGGTGTGAGGTTCCCAACTGCCCCTGGCAGGCCCGGGAGCCTTCTGCTCAGGGGCTGTTAGCATGAGCGCTGATTCTGTCCAAATCGCTGCTGAAGGCCCATCCCTTCTAGGTCCTACTCTAGTTGAAGGAGAAGGTGTATGTGTGCTGAGGGGGTGCAGGGATTTGAGGATTTATAACCAAATATATATATATTTATATTATATATTTATAATATATATTAAGTATTACTGTATAATATAGTGGCAGCTAGAGGGGCTTAGCTGGGCTTCATATATTTATTTTTTCTTAACCATAAAGACAATATTCCTTACAAACAATTCAGAAAATATTTGTGGTATACATTTGGAGTATTTCTTTTCGGCCTCCTTCACTCTGCCAACACACACACACATTTTACATACGCCCACCTGGAGATCACAGCTTTTCACAGAACCAGAGGCGTGGAAGCTGGGAGAGGTGGATGTTATGCAGTGAAGAGGGGATATGAGGCTGGCCTCAGAGAGAGGCTTCCAAAACCACCTATCAGCCACTTCTATTGGTGGGGGGGGGGGGGGGGGGGCGGGGTGTCGCAGAAGGAATGCTTGCTCTCCGAGCTACGTGTCCAGTTGAGATGAGGGGGAGGGGGCAGAGTGGGGCATGGCCCTGCCTGCTGGGAGCTGGAGCCCCAGCGGCGTGTGCATCGGCCTCAGCCAAGAGCAACAGTGCCTGACCTCCTGCAGGGCACGTGGGGCTCATGGGGCTGCCTCCCCTCTAGGGGCCCCAGGGATAAGAAAGGAGGTGCCTCTGTCCTGGCTCTTCCTGTGGGTGTCTGAAAGCTCAGCAACTGTGGCTAGGGGTCAGGGGGTTTCTCTCCCATCCTTAGTTGTCAAGAGGAAGCCTTCCCTAAAAAGATCCCTATGCCTTCCACTGTGAGGGGCTAGGCCAGGAGCTCAGGGAATGAGAGGTGCCCTCCTCTGGGGTCCTGGTAGGGACCCCCACTATCAACGCACCCCCCCATACCCACAAAGAGAACTCTGACAAGAAAATAGAGGTCCTTGCCTTTATAGGACCCCGGTGCACCGCCTCCCCTGGCCTCGGCCCCCTCTGATTTCCATGCTCCTCTTTGTTGTTGTTAAATTGTGGTTTTAAAAAAAAAACACATAACATAAAATTTATCATCTTAAATATTTTTAATGTGCAGTTCAATGGTATTAAGTATATTCACATTGTTGTAAAACAGGCCTCCAAAACTTTTTCATCTTACAGAGCTAAAACTCCACACTCTACACCTAAACACCGACTTCCCTTTCCCCCTCCTCCAAGCCCCTTAGCAGCCATGCTACTCCTATTTCTAGGAAGTTGAATGCTTTAGATACCTCGTATGAGTGGGATCATGTAGTATCTGTCTTTTTAAGACTGGCTTGTTTCACTCATTATAAGTCCTTACGGTTCATCTATGCTGTTACACATAACAGGATTGCTTTCCATTTTAGGGCTGAGTAACTTTCCGTTGTGTATGTAAGACTATGTCTTGTTTGTTAATTTATCCATCAGTGGACACTTGGGTTGCTTCTGCCTCTTTGGCTATTAGGAATAACGTTGCTATGAACACGGAAGTGCAAATATCTCTCTGACACCCTGCTTTCGATTATTTTGGGTGTATACCAGAGGCGAGACTGCTGGATCCCATAGTAGTTCTCGCCTTAATTTGTTAGTAACAGCCATACTGTTTCCCATAGTGTTTGAGCCATGTTTCATTCCCATCCAGAGTACTCAAGGCTTACTATCTCTCCACATCCTTGTCAACTCTTGTTATTTTTCTGTTTTTTAATAGTTGCCATCATAACGAGTATAACTTGATATCTCATTGTGGATTTGATTTGCAGCCTTGCTTATCATTAGTTGTAGAGTGTCAGTCCTGGAATTGCCATTATGGACCATCTGATCTGGCCCCTGAAGTATACATTTTACAGTTAGGAGCTCAAGGCCTTGTAACTCGTCTAAGGAGCCCCTGCTGGCCTCTGTGGGACAATGTTGGGGACAGAGCAGGTGGCCCACCCTCGTGGTCTCACGTGGGAGACCAAGGCTGTCAGTCCAGTATCCTTGCACTTTGCTTCCTGACCTTGGTAGTCTGATCAGCCTGCATATTTCTGTCTGGCTGCCTGACCCCTCCCCTCTCCAAACCTGAAAGCTTTCCATTCTTTTTTTTTTTAATTTATTTTTTAATTGAAGGATACTTGCTTTACAGAATTTTGTTGTTTTCTGCCAAACATCAACCCTTCCATTCTTAGAAAAGGAAGCATAGAAAGGAACTCAGGGGCCAGGGAGGGTAACTCAATCCCAGCATTTCTTGCAAGTCTTTAGTTTCAGTTGCAATTAAAGTAGCTTTCAAATAGCCAGTCCTGGCTCCTACATTTCTCCTTCCTAGCACTGAGTATAGTGCTCTCTGAACCTCAGTAGTTCCCTCCTTTACAAAACAGGGATAAGAATAGCTCCTACCTCACCAGGTTTTTGATAAGAGTAAAATAAAAAACTGCACAGAGAGCCCTCAGCCTGGCACACAGTGCAGACTTAAAAGGCGTTAGCTGGAAGAACGGGTCGGAGAGCAGAGCCTGATGGTCTCAGGGCTGGAATCCACAGCGCCGGTGCTCTCCCCTCCGTTTCCTAACCGAGAGACTGGGGGAGTTTTCTGGGGTGACAGGGCTGAGGAGGAATGAACAGCCTCTTGCAGACCAGCCTTCTGAGGTTTGGGGGCCACTGTCTTCATTCAGAGCCTCTTCTGAAGGAGAGCGGCTGTGGCTGAGGCCCAGAGCCCTTGGAGATAGAAGCCAAACAAACTCTCTAATCTCCTCAGCCCCGTGGAGCCCAGCGCTCAACAGCTGAGACAACAGCACCCGAGGCTGAGGCCACAGAGAAACTAGACTGAAGGTGATTTGAAGGGGGATCGCGCTGCAGTTCTGGGGTGTAAGCCAGCTCCAGGGTGACTCAGCTGCGTGGGTCCCCACCGTCCCCTGTCCTGGCTCCACAAAGTGGCCAAAGCAAGCAGAGCCAGGCTGGGGTCTCCTGACTGGGGGAGACCCTCTGCACATCCCCGGTTCTGGGTGGCAGGAAGGGGGCTGTGTTGTTTGGAGCATCATGGACTTGGTTTGCTTCCAGGATTCCTGGAGGAAAGGCGTCTGACCAGCTCACTCCCTGCTGATGCCACTTCCTTCTCAAGCCCCTGCTCCCAGACTGTCCAACTGTAACCAAGCAAGGGCTTGTGTGCCCACAGCTCAGAAAGCCAAACTCTGGCTGTGGGTCTGCAGTAAAGTATGGGCTTACTGCAAGGCGGAGGGAGAGAAGCCTCAGAGCCTCGCCCACTTGGTCTTTTTGAGTGAGGGGATTTAAAGGGGAAGAACAAAAAAGCTCTGGTAACTCATGCCCAGGAGAAACAACCTGAGCTTGTAACAATGTTATCACTGATCTCAGCAATCTTAGTCATCTGACTCTGATTGCTGTTTAGTTAGCACAGGATTGAGGTCAGAAGGAGCAGGAAAGGGATTGAATTCAGACAGGGACAAGAAAGGGAATCAAGTTTTGGATAGAAACATTCATCATAAACTCGGAGCAGAGTTTATTAATTAATCATAAACTCACTTTCAGGGGACTCAGTTTCACTTTCAACTTTGATGCCAGCCCTGTGGGGCCCTGAGATTCCTGGGTTCTGTCTTCCCCTTGTAGCACTGGGAAGTATTCCAGAAGGTGACGGAGGTCTTCATCCTGGTGCCTGCACTGCTGGGCCTTAAGGGAAACCTGGAAATGACGCTGGCATCAAGGCTTTCCACCGCAGTGAGTGTCCTGGCTGAGGGAGTGGGGCACACAGAGACGGGCAGCACAGAGCCTGACTGAGAGGTCACTGCAGGCCTTTCTCAGCTGCTCAGGTCTGCAAGGTGGGTCCGGGCTGGAAAGGCTCAGGGAGATCCCGGGCTGGTTGTCCTGCCCCTGGTCAAGGGCTCCCTGCTCAGAGTGGTTCCCAGGCTTGGTTTCTGGAGGTCCCAGCCACCCCTGGACTTTTGCCCCATCCCCTGCTTCGCAGCCCGCCTCGTGACTGTTTGTGCAGCTTTGCCAGGCAAGCTTCACGCTGGTCCCTCCACCTGCACAGCTGGGGGCCTTCTCTGATCTCCAGCCCTGCTCTGCAGCTGGGCAGGAGCCGAGCCAGGCCTTCTCAGCCCCTCCCACCCCGCTCCTTCTCCCCCACGGCAGCTTGCTCTTCTGTAAGGGAATCGAGGAAGAGGGGCTGCTCATCACTCCCACCTCCCACAACCTCTTAGATCAGCCGTCCTGGTTTGGAGACTACACTAGATTCAGGGCCACGGGGGGGGAGGTAGGAAGTGGTAAAACACGGGAGGCCAGGGGAGCCAGGTGGCAGGGATGTCCCCACGTGGCCATGAGCCCAGAGAAGGCAGCAGAGAGAAGTGGCAGCCTGCCTAGCCCTCCCCATCTTGCCCTCCTGGCCGGCTCCCAGCCACCTAAGTCCTTCCCAAACACTCTCATGGCCTCTGTCCTGCACCAGCAGCTGACCTGTTCCCCTTGGATGGCCAGCTGGCTTCAGAGCCAGGGACTGATCGGGTCCTTCTCACCCGTATGGGGATGAGCTGCCCGGAGGAGCAGGGCAGAGCCCAGAATCGGCCTCTGTCCTGAGGAGAGGGGAGAAGAGGGCGCTGCCTTAAGAACCCCCTCACCACCCCCCAGCCAGAGGCAGGAGGAGCTCAAGGCTATCTTGTGCCTTCCCTCTCATCCAGCCCCTCCACCCTGCTTCACTTTCCCTGGGGGTCACACCCTGGTCCAGGGTCTCGGGGCACGTGCACCGTCTGCTGATCCAGGCGGGATCCTGATGAACAAAGCTGCAGGCTTTCCCAGCCTGACGCTCCAGACCCCGGTCCTTCCTTTCCCAGGCCAACATCGGGCACATGGACACACCCACGGAGCTCTGGCGGATGATCACCGGGAACATGGCCCTCATCCAGGTAAGAGAGCGGGGACTGGGACGGTGGGGCTCAGCTTCCTTCCTCCCTGGGCGGGAACGCGACAGGCCTAAGTCAGCACCCACTGGCTCCCGAGTGAAGCTCCAGGGTCCTGCTGAGCTGCCTTCTCCCAGAGGAGCTCTAGGAGTTTTCCCGACTTCCCAGGAAAACGGCCAAGATCAGGGGGATTCCCAGGATCTTCAGTGTCAGTTCTCAGCTTGCAGTAATGCCGGAGGCTTGTGTCCCCCCAGCTCACATCGGGAGGGGACTTGGAGTGCTGAAGGCCCTTGACCACTTTTGTCCCATGTCCCCATGATGCTGCGCACTTTCCGGACCGGGAGTTCCTCCCCTTGAGTCCCAGGCTGTGTCTGGATGAAGTCTCGGGCTCTGTGGACCCTCCCCCGGGCCCCAGAGGAGCATTCATTCAGCCAGTAACATGTCCTGGGCTCCTGCAGGGCGCACTACCCAGGACTGGTGTCTGGTGTGAAACTAAATAAATAAAGACATCATTCCCGCCTGGAGGACCGGACAGGCCAGCTCTGCCCGCCTGCTGGAGCTGCTGGGGGCAGGAGGAGGTCTGGCCAAGTGCTCTGTGACCTCAGCTAAGCAGCGCTCTGCTCCCTGAGTCACCGCTCCCCTCCGCAGGTACAGGCCACAGTGGTGGGCTTCCTGGCGTCCATCGCCGCCGTGGTCTTCGGCTGGATCCCTGACGGCCACTTCAGCATCCCGCATGCCTTCCTGCTCTGTGCCAGCAGCGTGGCCACGGCCTCCATCGCCTCCCTGGTCCTGGGTAAGGAGGGCGAGGGAGGGGCAGGGGGGTAGGCAGGGCGGTCCCACAGGTGTCCGAAACCGGGCCCCTCCCGTCTCCCTCTCAGTTGTCGATGCCCCGTCATCTCGTCTTCCCCTGCCTGGCCCTTCTCCTTCCTCCCCAGGCATGATCATGATTGGAGTCATCATTGGCTCTCGCAAGATTGGCATCAACCCAGACAATGTGGCCACGCCCATTGCTGCCAGCTTGGGTGACCTCATCACCTTGGCACTGCTCTCAGGCATCAGCTGGGGACTCTACCTGGAGCAGGGTGAGGCTGAGGTCACGGAGGATGCAACCAGGGTGGATTCCTGGGTGGGACTGGGAGACGTAGCAACGGTTTCACACACATGTAAGGATTTCTCCTGCATTCCTAACCATTTGGTTGGAACACAGTTTGTAGATATCTCCCTACCTTACAGAGATGAGGCTGAGTTCTTATCTCAGATTCATGCAGGCAGCAGGCGCAGGGGTGAAAGTATCTCAGAAATACGCTTGGTTCTGTGGATTCTTACTCCCCTTGGAGGAGTAAGGGGGAAAGGGCAAAGGAAAGGAACTAAGGCTGGAATCTGCTTGCACAATGAAAGAGAGGCAATGGAGCTTTTTCCAGGGATCAAAGCAAGAAACCTAGCATCTGGTCTCTGCCCCTGATAAGTTCAGTGTCTGAGGAGCTGGCCCCCGTGTACCTCCTCGGTTAACAGCGAGCATCAAAGGAGTAGAGACATTTGCTGGCATTTAGCGTGGTGTTACCGTTGGTCTGTTGGGATTTTGCAGGCTGAGCCGAGGGGCGGCTGGGAGCAGGGAGCACTTGCTCACCTGCGTCTCCTCTCCACCTCCCAGGAATCTGGCAGTACATCTACCCCCTGGTGTGCACCTTCTTTGTGGCCCTGCTCCCTGTCTGGGTGATGCTGGCCCGACGGAGCCCGGCTACAAGGGAGGTGCTGTACTCGGGCTGGGAGCCCGTCATCATCGCCATGGCCATCAGCAGGTAGGCTCACTCCCCATCCGCCGCCCTCCCAGCCCTGGGAGGGGAAGTGTGGCCGGACCCTAGAAATGCCTTCAGTAGTGGCTCAGTCACGTGTGCTTCTGTTGGAAGTGATGGAGCTGTGTGAAGGGGTTTCATTAGAAACCACATCAGCTTAGGGTGCTGACTATGCACAGCTGGGCTCAGGGACATAAATGGCCGGGCCCCAGCGTTCTCCATCTCTCAGCTCTGCTTTTCTCTGTGCTGGCCTGCAGCTTCAGGTCTGCACTTTCGTGTGCTAATTCCAACAGGTGAAGAGAGATTCTTTCTCTAAACTCTTCTGCAAAGTCCCATTATAGAATTTCACTGCCTGTTGTCCTGACTGTCCCTGAACCAGTCACTGTGGCCTCCGAGATGTGCTGCTCCGACTGCACGGGCCTGGGGCCGCACAGACCACAGTGGCCGAGTCTGGGAGACCTGCTCCCCGAGGAAAAGTCCAGCCCTCCTCTCAGAGGGGAAATAAATACTGAGCAGGCACGGCAGCCAGCAGCTCCTCACGCCGACTTGGAAGGGAGTTGGAGGCGGCTGCCTGACCCAGCAGCGCCAGCTTGCTCGGGGTGCTGTGCTAGGGTGAATGTCAGGAGCATCAGCCGGTTCTGGCAAGGGGAGGCGAGGACTGGAGGACGAGGGACTCCTGGGGCCACCTCCCTGCCCTCGTCCAGACGGACCTGCGGCCCCACCCCAGGGACCAGAGCAGAAGCCTTCAGTGGTCTTTATGTCTGTGCAGCGTGGGAGGCCTCATCTTGGACAAGACGGTCTCGGACCCCAACTTTGCAGGGATGGCTGTCTTCACACCTGTGATTAATGGTGAGGTCTCGGCATCAGCTGCCAGCGGGGGAAGAAGAGGGCTGGATCAGAGGGTCTGGGGGCTTTGTTTCAGTCAGGGTTCTTGCAGGCAAGAGAGTCCAGCTCAGAGAGTTCAAGACTTGGGCTGGTTCCGGGAACCAGCGCTTGAGCATGGGGTGCTGTGTCCACCTAGCTTTGGAGAGGGACTGATGACGGTGGGGCTTGTCCCCTGAGCTGTGTGTGTGACCGCAGGTGCCCACGCTGCCCTGGTAGAGAAGTCAGCCTCCCTGCATCTACACATCTGTCCCTTCCCACGCTCTCAGCCTGCCGGGGCCACAGGGGACTGCCGTGTCTCCGTAGCTGGGAGGATGGGAGGAGCCTCGAAGACACCCCGGAAAGGAGCCTCTCTGCTCAGTGCCTCCGTCTTGTCCTGGGGACTGGTGGATGGGTCACGCCCTCCCCACTCCCCGGGCCCACCACGGCTTAGGACTTGCGTGTCTGCACAGGTGTTGGCGGCAATCTGGTGGCCGTGCAGGCCAGCCGCATCTCCACCTTCCTCCACATGAACGGGACGCCAGGGGAGAACTCGGAGCAAGCGCCTCGCCGGTGCCCCAGCCCCTGTACCACCTTCTTCAGCCCTGGTAATGCCCGAGTTCCCACCTCCTCTCCTGGGTTTACATCATCACGTAAGAAACCCCTGGCGCCTGGTTACGCGGGTTCTCGTCTGTTGGGCTGTGTGCGCCAGCTGTTCTAGAGGGAGAGTCCAGGCAGGAAGGCTGTCCTTGCCTGGGGCGCCCTGGGGGCTGGGCGCCGTGGGATGGATACAGACAGCCTGCCGTCTGCTGCCCTGGAGTGCAGCGCGGCGCCCCCGGCTGTGAAAGGCCTCCTGGCGCCAGCTCTCCCCCTTCTCTGCTCACGCCCCCTCTCCGCTGGTCCTAGATGTGAATTCTCGCTCGGCCCGCGTGCTCTTCCTCCTCGTGGTCCCGGGACACCTGGTGTTCCTCTACACCATCAGCTGTATGCAGGGCGGGCATACCACCCTCACCCTCATCTTCATCATCTTCTACATGACAGCTGCTCTGCTCCAGGTGTGGACCGACAGGGGCGTGGGGAGGGGCCAGGGCTGCCCTGCAGGGGTGAGAGGGGAGGACCAGGGACGGTGTGGCCGGTGAATGCTGGGCGGGGGCTCAGGAGAGCAGACCGCAGTTCCAGCCCCGTCCCTGAGAGGCTGTGTGGCTTTCAGTGAGTTGTTTTACTTCTCTGAGCCTCAGTGGTACATTTGCAAATCGAGGGGAGTGAAGCGGAGGTGCTGGATTTCAGGCAGGTGCCACCCCCACTGGCCTGGCCACACAGCTCCACGTGGCTTAGTTCACATGCTGGGCTTCCTTGGGAGGTTTCATTTGAGTAGAGGATGTCACAGCTTGAGAATGTGTCAAAACCACTGTACTAGACAATCTCTAGGATCCCATTCAGCCTTCCTGTAATACTAGGATGTCTTCTCCCTTGCTGTTTACTACATTTTTTCAACTTTTTATTTTGAAATCATATGTATTCATAAGAATGTGCCCCCCCCAAAATGTGCTGAGAGAGCCCATGTACCCATCACCCAGCTCCCCACAGTGGTAACATCTTGCATAATTATAGCACAACACCAAACCCGGGAAGTCAGTGTTGGTATAATGCACAAAGCTATTCAGATTGCACCGATTTTACATGCAGTCTCATGTGCGCGTGTTCTATCACTCATATGTTCATGTCACCACAACAGTCAAGACACAGAACAGCTCCGTCACCACAAGGCTCTCTCATGCAACCCCTTTATAGCCAATCTAATCCTCATTATTACATTTTCAATTTCTATAGATTTGGTTTTTTAATAGGTTAGTTCAAAAAATTTGAAAGGGTCAATAGAGAAGCCTCATTGAAACATCCTTCCTCCCTCTGGTTCTGCATCCAGTTCTCTTCCTCACCGGCCATTGGGGTCCTCTGTTCCTTTCTTTTAATAGAGCTGATTTACACTGTTGTGTTAGTTTCTGGTGTACAACAAAGTGATTCATATACAGAGATATAAAAGATACATGTATATATCCTTTATCATACTCTTTTCCATTATAGTTTGTTACAAGATATTGAGTATAGCTCCCTGTGCTATATAGTAGGAGCTTCTGTTGATCTGTATCTCTCATATATCCTTCAATCTTATTCCATGTTTAGGCAAGCAAACATACATATTTTTCTCATTTTACTCTTTTTTGAGACACATATTATTGGGTGTCAGGACACTTTGGCCAGGTCTGGGCCACCCACGTGGTTTCCCCGCAGCCGTGACCCCAACTGCCACGTTCTGTTGCGAGTTGGGGTGAAGCGCATGTTGCAGAGCAGGGATGGGTGTGGGTGCCCAGGGTCCGTGCCTGGAGGGCGGCCCTCAGCCACCTTGGGAAGGGCAGGCCTGCCTCCATTCCCTGCTGTGAGCATGCCGGGGGCCATGCTCACCTCCTGTCTTCTCCAGCTGGTACAGGGCCAGGGTGGGACACCTGATCCCCTCTAAAGGTTCCTCCTGATCCCCTCGCTGCCTCCTCCCGGCGTGTGCCCAGGGCCTGCTCGGGAGGCTGGAATGTGGAGACAGCTGCTGCCCGTCCCTTCCTGGGGCACATCCCGAAGTCCTCTGGCCACGTTCTTTATTTGGGACCCTTCTGCAGCTGCTGGCAAGGGTGTGAAGTTATGCCGGGGGGGTGGGTGGGTGGAGGTGGTTTCGAGGGGGCTGTCCCTCACTCAGGATCAGGGCCACAAAAGTCCAAGGCCGTTGTGTGCAGGGCAAGGCAGAAGGTGAAGGATGCTGAAACTGTAACCTCTGCCTTCCTTGAAGAGAAGACTGGAGAGCAACCAGTCTGCCTAAATTTAGGTATCACATCTGACTTCCGGATCCCCCAGTAGGCTCTGGTTCCAGGAACTAAGCCCCTTTGGGCAGAATTTGCATACCACAGTATTTACAAAGTACAGTCCGGAGTAAAACCTCCTAAATGACTGTTTTGGAGATTTACCGTTAGAAACCATTTCATTCTTGCTCAGATGCAGTCATTTGGGGAGCCCAAATGCCAGGAATTGTGCAGAGTATAGAGAATATGCAGGCCTGTGGACATCCCCATAGTATTCCAGATCACGTACATCGCCAACTTAAAAGTACATGTAAATCTTGTTAAAAGGCAGATTCTGATTTAGGAGATCCAGCATGAGGCCTAAGATTCTGCATTTTTCACAAGCTTCCAGCTGTCGATGCCCCTAGTCCTGAGCCCACTAGCAAGGTTCTAATCTAGATCATCATTAATTATCTATAATAATGGAAGAAAAGCAAGGAACAGATACATCACAGCAGCAAGTTTCTTTTGAACTGATATGCACTGTGTGCTTGGTATTCAGCTGACTTATTCCTAATTCTATTTTGCTAGGACTAATGTTAAAATAAACTTGCATTCTCTGAGCAGAATGGGAAGGGTCAGGAGGAAGGCAGCTTGGGATAATCAACTGTTACTCGGACAACTGTGCCGGCAGCAGCCTCTCACACTGTCCTTATTTCTCTCTGCTCTGAGGACAAATCCCTCTCTGAAAAGCAAACTCCCACCCCCCAGCCGCCTGCAGAGGCCAACATGGCAGGAATTGGAGTGACCCGAGAATAGGATGACCCAGAATTAGAGGCAAGAGGACTGAATTCCTGCAACAAGTAGGATGTTGATTAGTAAACCTCTTGTTGGGTAAATCTGGGAGCAGAATGTAATGTAATGTAGGCGACTCCGGAGAACAGAGGCATCTTCCTTCCCGATGAACTCAAATTCCTTCTGTCATCTGTTCAAGGCGGTCACTGTGGGCTGGAGGAGCAGAGAGGGGTTGCGGGGGCCAAAAGATGAGCTGACTTGCTTAAGGACTGGCTGCAGCTAGCCAAGCCTTGCGGTGCGGTGAATGGGGCGATCGCGTGGCCTCTGGCTCCCCCTGGAGAGGGGATGGCTGTAACTGGCCCTGCTATTTTCCAGGTGCTGATCCTGCTCTACATCGCAGACTGGATGGTGCACTGGATGTGGGGCCGCGGCCTGGACCCAGACAACTTCTCCATCCCGTACCTGACAGCCCTGGGGGACCTTCTCGGCACTGGGCTGCTGGCACTCAGCTTCCATGTCCTCTGGCTCATTGGGGACCGAGACACAGATGTCGGGGACTAGCCTGGTCACTCAACCTTCTCTCCACCTCTCTGCACTTTCTGTTTGAAATTTTTTTGGGGGGGCTGGCGGTTAGGTCTTCTTCCCTCACCTCCATCCCACTCGACACTCCCGCCTCTTTCTAGGACTTCACGTGGATACCGAATTCTCATTATTTTCAATGGGAATTCTTATACATTGAGCCAAGTTTGTAGAGTAAGAATTCAGACAGGACAGGTGCACTGAGATGAACAGTACAAGTAGGTGTCTGAGACAGTCACCAATGTAGTTGCATGGTGGGTGCTTCCAGAGGAGATGCCTGGGGCAGGGGTCTCCGTCCAGGATCTGGGGACATTGGTTTAGCTTTAGCAAACTACGGCTCTGGATTGGGGGGTTTGTCTTTGTTTTCTCTTTTTCTTTTTGGTTGAACAGAGGGATAAATGTCACTCTCCCCTCCCCCCCGACACATAAGTTTTCTAGAAGTGGACCAACTTCAGAGCTCTAATTAAGAGACAGCTGGTCCTAGCCCCAAGTAATACTAGCCCTGTTCTCTGCCCTGCTCTCCAAAAGGATGAGGTGAACTCCGTAAATTATATACCTGCTCTTTACCCAGCTGCCTGAAATACACCACCATCCCCTCCCTCTGATCTTTTTTTCCAACTGACTGTCTCATCCAAGAAGCAATGAGCTGTGACCTGGTCTCCCTGTTGGCCCACGTCCACCCGTAAGTTTGCCAGAATCGACATCCTCCCTGGACCCAGAGACCTGATTCTTCTTCTCTGTTCATCTTTATCTCTAATTATTTCTAAGCATGACCTTCCCCAGAGCTTGCTGCGTTGGCTTCCGAGATTGGGGATGGAGAATGGGTTTGTGGAGAAGTGCTGGGCGGTTGATGGGTGTCTCACTGCTGCTGTTCCTCCTGAGGACATAATCACATGCACCTTAGAATTTCTCGCTTCCTGAAATCACTCAGTCTTTCATGCCGTGGAGGTCAGTTTTCCTCTCTCTTGGCTTCTGCCCACATCCATCATGTGTTCATTCACTCATTCAGCAAATACACAGCTTCCCCAAGAGGAGCGATTCTGCAGGCACAGCCTGAAACATTCACTGAGCGCTGTTTATTGAGTGCCTACTACACATCAGGTCCTGTGCCGGGTACTGACTGGCCAGAGGAAACACAGTTCCACCCCCGCCTCAGTCCCTGGATACAAAGGCTGTGCACCCTTTTCAGTCTAGCAGAGAATGTGTCCTCACTGAATTTCCCTCTTTGTCCAAGCAGAGTTTGCCTCTCGATGCCGCTCCTGGCTCCCACGGGCATGGAGCACTGGCCACAACTCAGGCCCCACTGCTCAGCCACTACTGATTTCCCTACACTACCCTCTCTCACCCTCGCCTCTTTCCATCTCCTCCCCACTCACCCGAAGGGGGGTTCAGAGCTTGAAGGCCAGACATCCACCCACTGCTTCCAGTTTACCCAGCACAGGCGTGGGAGAGCGCTGGGGTCTCTGCATCCTCTCAGCACGTTACTGTGAACAGGTCAGAATTCTGCTGTCCACACTCACATGTGGACAGACCTGGGCATTTGGATGCAGGTTTCTTCCAGCGTCTATGTCCATAGCCTGCCCTTCAGCTCTCCCCCTCTGTCACCTAAAGGGCCTGTGTCCAGGAGAAGGCCAGGCAGTGACCCCGTCTCTTACCACCACCCTGCCTCACCCCAAGGAACTTGCCCTGTGTCTCTAGAGATGCTTTCTGTCTCTGCATCTCCACCCAGGACACCCGCCAGAGCCTAGATCCTTAGACTTGGAATCGTAGAGGCTACCCAGCTGGGGTTGCCCCCAGCAGAGTTCACTGACACCAGCCCGGCCTTGTTCCTGCTCTTCTCGGGCCTTCTCCTGTCTTGTTGTCCATCTCCAGACACGTTTGCACACAGACTCTTGTACAGGCATCAAAACCAACTCCTCCACCCCCAAGGCTGTGCCCGTGTGGTCTGCAGTCACCCCTGCCCCAGGCACTCACCCCTTTCTCCTCTCTGGAGTTCAGCCAGGCTGCCCTGGAGGAGTCCGGCGTGCCCTCCTTTGCCGGAAGGTAGGCGTGCCCCAAGCCCTGAGGATGAGCAGAGGGAGGTCTGCAGGGCGAGAGGGAAAGAAAATGAACTTCATGACTTTCATGGACGATCCATTTCTTTTCCCCTGATTGCACAAACCACATGGACTTCTGGCCTGGCTGTGGGGAGCAACATTGGTTTACTCTTATATCCTTAAAAAGTTACAGAACTGTGTCCTAAGAGAATTATTTATAGTGACTATAACTGAATTGACAAATGTCAACATAACTGATAAATTATATTTGGTAAAATAAAGAGGACGTTTATTTAGGTGGCTGGTGGTTCCTGTGTGTCTCACCCAAAAGCAGCTTCCCCTGCTGTCTTGAGCCTGCTCTGTGATCCCACCCCCTCCTGGCATAGAAGTGGAAAGAGGCCAGAGTGTGACAAACGAAATAGCTCTTAAATACGGAGATGTGTGATAGGAAACAGTCATTTCTTAAGAAGCAGCCAGTGCTGCTCTGGGACATCCTCCCTGCTCTCCGCACACTGACTCGGCCTTGGTTGGAGTGTTGGCAAAGGGCACGTGCACCTGGGGGTTAAGAGTCCTTCCCTGCAGAGGTTTATGCCCTGCTTGGATCACAATAACAGTAGCTGTATTTGTTGAGTACTCGCACTTGCCTTCACCATGCTCAGCACTGTAAGTGCTTAGAAATTTATAATTGACTGCAAAGGGTTTAGAATCTGGCCTGGATCCAGATCTTCTAATTGTATTTGTGTGATATTGGACAGGCCTTTTACACTCTCTGAGCTTCAGTTTCCTCATCTGTACAGATACCTAGGGTCGTGAGGAGACTTCAATGAGATAATTCACAGAAGGCAATAAACACTGTGGCTGGCACACACCAAACCCCAATGTAGAAGTCGCTTTTAAAGTGAGAGGGAAGTGGGCTAATCTCTAGACAATGTCAATACACTGACCATAGTGGTGAATCAGGAGTGAATGGGGAGCAGGCAGATGGAAAGAACACCTAACCAAGTCTTGAGGGTCAGGGAAGTCGTAGAGGAAGCCGGGAAGAATCGGAGTTAGCATGAGAGGAGAGCAGCGACATGGAGGAGAAATGGTAGGCTGAGCAGGGTAGCGAGCCTGGTGCTTTGGGGAACTACAAATAGTTCATGTGACTGGAGCTTGGGGGCAGGGAGTGATAACACAACCTTCGGAGAGACACACAGTTTTCCTGAGACGGCAGGTAGGGAAGGGCAGAGTCACACTGCAGTCCCACCCAGGTCTGACTCTAAAGCCTCTGCCGGGAACCACTGCCCACCCAGGACATGTGCCCCAAAGATTCAAGACCATGTTATATAGCACACAGTGCTGAGCAGTACCCTACTCAATGATCAGCCTTCTTTTTTTCAGCTTTATTGAGATATAATTGACAAATAAAATTGTCAGACAGTTAGTGTGTACTGTGATCATTTCATATATGTATATGTTGTGAAAGGATTCCCCCCCTCATTGAGTTAACACATCCATCACTTCACATTATTACCATATTTTTTGTTTTTTTTTCCCTGATGAAAACATTTAAGAAATCAGCCTTTTACAATGCACCTGGACCCTGGGACTAACCCTTCAGAGCAGTAATATTTAAAGTTAATGGGAAGAGGATAATTGCTTGCTAATTATTATTTAGATAATATTTCAATATACAATATTTTATACTATATGATATAGTTTTAAATAATAGCCTCATTTACAACTTCAATATTATCTCTAAAAGCTCTGCAAAAAAGATTTTATCACCATTTTACAAGGGATAACCTGAGACACAGAAGGGTTAAGTGCCTTGCCACTCAGCTTGCTCTCAGCCCACGATGCCTGGAGCCAGATGAAAGCACTGGCCAAGGTGTCCCTGCATAGACAACACATAAACATTATACTGAAATAATCAAAAATATAGTGCATGTTATCCCAGTTTTGCCCTTGAGACACCTTGAATTGCTGCAAAACAGTAACTGTCTACAGAAATAGACAATATCTTCCAGTGGGCATTTAAAAACAAGCTTCCCAGGCGCCATCCTATCCCTGATGATATTTTTGCAACATAATTACAGGCAACACCACCAACCCTGAGATCAGTTAGCTGACAGTCTCCTGAAATCCAGCTGTCTCCAGCTAAAATTCGGTAACTGAATTCAGTAACTGTGTAGTGCTGTTTACTGCACTATACTTTATTATGATTATCTAGATATAAAACATTTTAATATGACTCCCAAAAAAGTGTCTGGCTTGGAAAAAGGAAAAGTTTTTTAAAAAGCTAATAAGAAAACGTACTGCCGGGAGTTCCCTGGTGGCCTAGTGGTTAGGATCCCAGGCTTTCACTACCACAGCCTAGGTCCACTCCCAGGTCGGTGAACTGAGATCATGCAAGCCGTGTAGTGCAGTCAAATCAACAACAACAGAAAGTGAGGACCAGTCAGCCAGCCAGAAAAAAACAGTTTTTAACATAATTTGTAAGACCTTATGGCTATATTCATGTTTAGTTTAGTGGGGTTGACTAATATTGTCTAGTTATTGTTTTTAGGTTAAATGAAAATAGTCCCAAATGAGTAAAAAGTATGTCACATTCAGAGCACCGTAAAATTTCCTTATTTTGAACATGTTGGAACAAATTTCTTGTTTTGAACATTACAGAAATTATTTTCTCTTAGATTCTATGAAGGGAATGTTGAACACGTACATAGAAATCGTTGCTTTAAGGGAGCTCTGAGTTGTGACCGGCCTGGGACTCATATGTGATATCTGTCCTTGACTCTGCACTGGCACATATGTGACTTTTAAGTACGTTACCCAACTTGTTGACTACCTCACAAATTACCCTGAAGTGAAGTATATGTTTTGGGTTTTAGGAGTTAGAAATGTGTGTGGAAAGGAACTAAGTCAAATATGGACTATTAATAAGATTTCAAGGCTAAAACTCAA